AGCTATCTTACCCATTACCAAGATAGCTTTCCCAATTATCACCTCTAATACCATTAACTCACAAACATCCCACTCTCCTCACCTCTAATATCATCAATTCACAGACACTTACCTTCCTTCCTTCCCCCCCCCTTGCATCCCCCTCCTGTTCTGAAATGTGATTTGTCCTTTTCATATGTGTTCATTTTTTTAATTGTATCCTTTGGTATATATGGCTGTGATTATTTTCTTCCACTATTTGATCTGAGGAAGTGGGTCTGGCCCACGAAAGCTCATCAGCTAATAAACCATCTTGTTAGTCTTTAAAGTGCTACATTGTCCTGCATTTTGCCCATGCTAGTCAGGTACTAGAGTTTCCTGAGCATACATTACCCGTTCTATGGTGAGTATGGGACATGGAGAGGGACACACTAGGGATTAGGGGCCTGATCAAAGGCACCTTGGTGTCAATGGAAAAACTCCCATTGACTTCCAGGGGTTATGGATCAGGCCCTGTTTTGAAACCACCATATGTACTTGAAATGTTGACCTAAATAAGATATGAACTTTGAACTCCAGCTCTGAGCACTAGTGAATTAAACCAGGGTATCTCCCCGCCCCTAAGATCAGCCCCTTTTAAAAGTGCCTTGCAAAGGAGGAAACAATTTGGCTTGTACTTTCTTGTCCACCAAGCAGAATTAAAAAAAATATCCTTTCAGCTCCAGAGAGCATATGAAAATAGCACAAGTCGCATTTCATCCTTTACAGTGCACCTTTAAATTAGCAGAAATAGAGTCAAATATAGGCTCCTGACCAGCTTTTTCCCTATGTTTTTCTCCACTGACTCAGAAAAGACTTGCAGAGCCTGGGAGAGTGTCTGTCAGTATTATTTTTAACTGTAAATATAAGATGGTAATCAAAACTTGGCTCTAACTAGTGAAAGACAGTATTGACTCGTCCAACACCCTTTCTGTGTAACAGGATATTCCTGTTTTGCTGTTGCTGGGTTGCTAGAGGAACTCACAAAATATTCTTTCTTGCAGTGTAATTGTACATGGCTCTCTGCAGCAGGTTCACAGATAACAATACACTTCTGTCCAAAAGGGATGAGTCTGTGGCCCTGATCCTGAAAGGAGCGCCAAATGACATAAACTGGCAGAAATTTTGTTGACAAGCTGTAGCGTAGACATAGCCAAAACACGTAGGCTGTGTCTACACTGGCCCCTTCTTCGGAATAGCCATGCTAATTTAGAACTTTGGAATAGGGAGATGCGCGGGGGATTTAAATACCCCCCGCGGGATTTAAATAAACATGGCCGCCGCTTTTTTTCCGGCCTGGGGAAAAGCCGGAAAAAAGCGTCTAGACTGGCGCGATCCTCCGGAATAAAGCCCTTTTCCGGAGGATCTCTTATTCCTACTTTCAGGTAGGAAGAAAAGATCCTCCGGAAAAGGGCTTTTTCCGGAGGATCGCGCCAGTCTAGATGCTCTTTTCCGGCTTTTCCCTAAGCCGGAAAAAAAGCGGCGGACATGTTTATTTAAATCCCGTGGGGGATATTTAAATCCCCCACTGATTTTCCTATTCTGACTTACCTGCTTTGCATGACTATTCCGGAGAAGGGGCCAATCTAGACGTAGCCGCAGTGATCTGCTGAGACATTGTAGGACTGAGTTTACGTATAGGAATGGGCACAGTAGCAATGACAGCCAGAGAAATGAATGTGAGCATTATGGCTTGCAGGCTTCATGGAATCCATGAGTTTTCTGAAGAGAGAGGGAGAGTGCTTGGCATATGTTAAGCACGAGATTGTTCAAAGCATAGGGGTGGCATACATGCAGGCATAAGAGCATAACTAGTTAACGTTCCATGGATGGTATAAATCTTCTAGTTCATACTGCTATGCAGAAACCCTGGCAATTTTGAGGTCCCTTGATACCAACATTTTGCCCTACCCATGTGCAATTGAGGAGAAGCCTTGTGGTCTCTGTTTACATGTGCTCAAGCAATAACACACAGGCTACATCTACACTGGCATGATTTTCCGGAAATGCTTTTAACGGAAAAGTTTTCCGTTAAAAGCATTTTTGGAAAAGCGCGTCTAGATTAACAGGATGCTTTTCTGCAAAAGCACTTTTTGCGGAAAAGCATCTACGCTTGTCCGCAAAAAAGCCCCGATCGCCATTTTTGCGATCGGGGCTTTTTTGCGGAAAACAAATCTCTGCTGTCTACACTGGCCCTTTTACGCAAAAGTTTTTCGGAAAAAGACTTTTGCCCGAACGGGAGCAGCATAGTATTTCCGCAAAAACACTGACAATCTTACATGAGATTGTCAGTGCTTTTGCAGAAATTCAAGCGGCCAGTGTAGACAGCTGGCAAGTTTTTCCAGAAAAGCAGCTGCTTTTCCGGAAAAAGTGGCCAGTCTAGACACAGCCACAGTGTATAGAGGGAATTCCACCCCTTACTCTAAGTGTCCACGATTTCAAGGTACAAATGAATGAATGAGATCTGGTAACATATGCCTACATGACTGCCTACTCATGAACATGGATAGTGAATTGAAGCTGCACTAGCAAGACAGTAGAAAAGAGGCTGTTAGACTTTTAACTCTTGTCTTCACTACCCTCCCTGTTCTACGATCTCCTTCCTTCTCTCTCCTCCCTTGGCCGATATAATCAGTGAGATCAGACTTTTACCCAGAGAGCTGGGTGTGCCAAGCTAATATTATTAATTATGCAGTAGGGCTCAGAATCCATCTCTGGAACATTAGTCCCTGCTCTGAGCATTGGGTGCTGCTTGAGAGTTTAGGGCTTATCTAAAAGGATACTCACACTGGTTTAGCTAAAGGTAGGGTTGCCAGATGGTTGAAACAAAAATACAGAACACTTCACCCCCCCCTCCCAAAAAAAAACATCGGGAAAAAATTCTGTTGAAGGGGGAAAAAACGGGAGGTGTCCGATATTCTCTGAATTTTTTTACCGGACAGGAGCCGAAAATACCAGACTGTCCGAGTGAATACCGGACACCTGGCAACCCTAGCTAAAGGTATGAATTTAAATCAGTTTAAACTCCTATGCAGTCACTTATTTTGATTTAAGAATGGTTTCAATTCATCTTATGTACATTAGGGAGGTAAAGGGTTAACTGGTTACCCAGTAATCATGCGCACTACTGGCATGCATACCAGGGTAACTGGTTAACTGGCGGGTGGCTGCTCAGCAGCCACTGTGTAGCAGGCTTGGCACATTTTGGTCAGAGCTGCCCATGGCGCAATGGGCCCGCTGGAGTAGCCAGTGGCGGAGCACGATGGGCCTGGCCAACCGTGCTGCAGGGGCTGCTCTGTCCTTGCCTACCCATCACAGTTCCCCACCCACCACACAATGCAGCTCGGCCCAGCCTGGCTGGTGCAGCCCCTCACCACAGGATTACTGTTAACCAGTTAAACATTCCATTTTAAAGGTTAACTTTTTAACAGGGATCTTACATCTCTAAAGTATGTTAGAAACAAGTTTAAATAAAGCCAGAAATATCACTCTAGCCAAAGTACCAGTGTCTACAAAGGGAATTGCTTCAGCTTAACTATACCTGGGTAAGGACACACTAACAAAGCCTAAGTTGTAGTCCAGTTCTTTTGAGAGAGAATTTCAAAACTACTGACAGTCTGTACAGAGAGTAATGCATATAGGCGACACTGTATCACAGAACATTGTACAGGTTTAGCTGAGCCCATCTCCATTTATGGTGGAAAAGATTGCAAACCCCAGCAGACAGGTACTTTATCAGCACCAGAGGGCACATGACTTCAGGCATTAATTGTGGGACTTAAGGTAACAAGGGTATTTAAATTACTAATGAAGCTAGACATTTATCTATGGGTTTTTTATTTCTATCTGGACTCGTATTATGTGCTCTATTTGCAGCTACCCTTTCAGATCACTAGAGGTAAATAAAAGATGGACGCTATTATGGATGTGAAAGTATAACCGTTTACATAGTTAACCGATGAGCCTGGATTCATTGGTTAACATGCATGGTTATGCACAGGCTCCCCTGTGGTGTTGCCTCTGATACAGCAGTTACACGCTTACATAATTAAACACATTTTAACATCCCTAAAAGCTATGTACATACTCAAGAGTGAACCATAAGGTGTGCTATTGCTGAATGCTCTAATATGGGCAATCAAGTAAGTGGGTTTTGTTTACATCATTTTTCTTTTGGCTTCTGTTAAAGCCTTTATTTTTACCTTTGCATAAGACAGGTAATACGTAAATACCAGGAAATGAGCAGACATTTATTTGCACACACACAGTAAAACAAGGTGCAAATATACATGGTATGCTTTCTTCATGCTTAGGATGGGAGAAGCAGCATGATAGGTTGTGCATTTAATTTTATTAATAGAAAATGTATGACAGGGCACATTCCATTATGCCAGGCAAATTTAGAACAAAAGGATTAACATCTGACTTACGCAGATTAAGAAAGCAAGCATTCAGCTGTTCAGTTTACTTGCTGATACTTTGGATCCACTCTATAGTTCTCACATTGACTTTGGGGTGAAATCCTGTCCCTACTGAAATCAATGGGAATTTTTGCCATTGGCTTTAACAGGGCCGGGATTTCATCCCAGATTTGCCTTGAGAAATGCAGATTTTGATGTTAGTTATACTGTAGGTATAAAATAGTTCTGATGCGGATGTTAACTACCTCATGATGGCATACTGCTGCACAGAGACTCTTACTGTGCTGACCCCCTGCTGCCACCAGAGCTTGGGAAAGGCTGAGCTGCTACTTAGGCAGCTCCAGTCTCTGGCTGCATTTTCAGTCCCCTGCAGCCTAGTGTAAATTAACAGATCTCCTGTATATTTGGGAGAGCATCCTGAGAACTGGCCTGCACATAGCAGCAGCAAAATCAAAGGAGTCCTTGTTACACTCTCTGCCTACCTCTCCTGACTTGTGTGTTCTCTGCAGCTTAGTCATACCACAGAATCTGATCCAAAATATTTTGCACTTGCAAACAGCATTAGGGTGTAATGAATTCTTTATTTTAAAAAATTGATACAAAAATAAAACATATGAATATGAAAATTTATAATCATGTACAAAAGCCCAATGATTATACTGTTACAAAAACCCATGGTCATCTAAAAATCGTAGCTTGCATTTAGTCAAACAGATTTGAAAATAGTGATTTAACAGAACAGGAAAGGAAAGTTATAAAAACAGATACATCACGTAGAGACTGTAAAAACCTTACACAACATGAAGTCTGATCTTTCAAAAGGACAAATCAAGATTTAATAAAAAGGCCACCCAACACTGTTCAGATAGTAGAAAGGGGTTGTAACATTCCTGGCCATTTTAAAGCCCCATCCTTTACACTGCCAAAGCTGAGACATAGCCTTAGTGGAAATGAGCAGAGGATGGACCTGTAGTTCTAATAACAGTTGTAACTCAGCTCCCTTGCACATACAGGAGATCTGGTTCTGCTCTCTCACACACCGGTATCAATCAGAATAACCCCCCTGAAATCAGTGGAGCTATATGGGTGTAAAAGGCACAAGTGAGATCAAAATAAGGACAACAGGGCAAAATTCTTCCCTTTAATTCAACCTTGTACATAATAGGGCAGAACTGAGCTCATAGTATTTTCTTTTAATGTAAATAGGGCTTGAGTAACCTCTGCATTACTCCAGTTTTATGCCAGTGCAATTCCATTAAAATCACTGCTCCTACAAGCAGCTAGAGAAATAGGCTGGTTTATGTGTGTTTTGGTTTGGATACCAATATCTGTTTCAGAATTTTGATTAAATACACATGTACATCTTTAGTCACAGCAGATCAGCACATGGATCCAATGCAGGAATACACTTGGCTATGTGTGTAACTTTAAGCACAGAAGCACTCCCATTACATCAATGGAATTACTCGTATTCAAAGCGGAGCATGTACTTAAGTGGTTTCCCGAAACAGGGCCACTGCTACTAAATTAACTACTGTACTAGATAGTGGAACAGAGCTACTGTACAGAACATTTTAGCTGGTTATTCATAGGTAACAGAGTAGAGCTAAATGAAACCTTATAATATAAGGATGAATTTCCCTAGTAGTTTACAAGGAACACACTTTAAAGAGGAATGTTGTCCGTGAAGTTTAGCTGACAAATGCAGCAATGGCTATGATCTGTAGTATTCCCTCAAGACCATATGTACAGAGAAGAATAGCATTAATAATGACATCTGCTTTCAGTATGTAGGTCTCCCACACCAGGAAGTAAACAGACAGCATTATGCAGCCAATAGAAATCACAAGACTGACTCCTAGTGGAACCTCTTCTTCTGTCAGGTTACCCTTTGTACCTTGAGGAAACAAACGGTTAAATGAATCTTTGATTGTTTACAGTGACAAAATCTTGGGCTCCAATTCAGGAGAGCAGCCCTGTTCAGTAAGGGTACTTAATCACATGCTTAATGACTCGTTGAAGTTTGTCTATAGGATTTAAGTACATGCTTGAAGTCAAGTACATGCATAAGGGCTTTCATGAATTGAGGCCACTGTCTGTAAGCAGAAGAATAAATCCGAAATCAGATGAACACAGTTTCAACACTGACCAGGATGATAGTTTGGATAAAAGACAATCTGCCAGTACACTAAGATTTGGTCTACTTTACAGACTGATGCTGGAATAACTACTGTTGCTTAGAGACGTGGAAAATCAATATCAACTCCTACATAAATCAACCTCCAAGTGCTCTCCCCTTGACACCCATACTCCACCAGGATGAGAAGAGTGGCTGGCATAGATAGGAGAGCAGCCCCCTCCGACCTTACCGCAAACAATACATCGCAGTAAGTATGGTGACTTCAGCTACACTATTTGCCTTATAGCTGCTCAAGGAAATCTTCTGCACAGGGTATTCCTTCGGGGCTATTACCAGCCACTTGATCTGCTGCTGGAGCAGTGTAAAAGCACTTCAGTAGAATCAGGGCCTTAATGTTTTGTGCTTCATTATCTCGTACAACATACATACTTATAACCAGCAGAGCAACACTCTGTTACATTTTCAGCAGTTCTTGTGAATCTGTCCCTTTTTAGTGGTATAAAACTATTATTTGCCCTTCTGGCCATACAGATCAACCAGTCAGTTAGTGCTTAAAACATACATGTTTAAAATAAGTCTATAAATAAGTCAAACTGCTAAATCAGCAAGTTTTGACACACGCATTCATAACATGATTAATGTGTGAAGACTGAGGCAAACATTCCATCTTCAAGTGCACAACAATAGCGAAGATCAACATACCTGAGTATAATCGGATTGCTTCTAGAATGGCCATAATGAACAGCAGTACAAGATCAAGAGCTAAGTAATTATCCGGATAACTGTAAACTTGACCTGTTGAATAACAAAGTATAAACAAACCAAAACCACTAAGTACATCAAGTAATCACAATATAACATGCACACATCTGAGTTTTGTGTTTAGAATATGTATAAAGTAACTTACTTTTATAAATAATCATTAGAAGAGTTGCCAAGAAATAAAAGATGTAATAAAATCCATTTAAATAGAACAGGATCTGTAAGGGAACAGATGACAGCTGACAAGTATATTATTAAGGGTCTGTAACAGAAACACAGTCCAGCTCTATTTTATCAGTCACAGCATATTAATCTCAAAATGCTACTGGGCTTTATTTTCCATAACAATCCATGTACATATATGTTTATAATGGCACTTAAGATATCATGGTGGTTGGTGTCTTGGAAATACTGTAGCTAAATTCAGTTGAGATTCCAAATACTGTTAATTTAGGACAATAGAGTGCTGGTTTCTTGCCTGTTCTAATGCTTACTTTAGCTAGATTAGGTATTAAGGTGGCCCTCATTAGCATATCATCTGTGTGCCATAATCTTTAAGGTATTTATCCTCACAACCCCCAAGCAAGCCCTATTATTCCTAATTTTACAGCTGAAGAACTCATGCATAAGTTGAGTGACTTGCACAAGGTAATTCAGGATCTTGAATCTCTTACCACCAGTTTTTCAGCCAGCTGGCAGCCATGTATTTCCTTTGTAGTCTCTTTCATTTGTTTATTATGCATTTTTAAAGGGAAAAAACCACAGGAGTCAAATGTGTGCTGACAATGCCTTATTTTTTTGTGGCATGGGAGGGACACTTCCTTTAGTAAAATACAAGAGCCAAAATCTCTGCTGTCATGGAGCTGCACCCATTTTAACCAAGAGAGAATTTGGCATGGATTTTTAGTGGCCAATTATTTCTATTGTCCCCAAGTTTTAAGATCACATTAAATTTACATACAAATTATTTTAGCGTTAGTGCCCACCCAATTTTGGATGAGAAAATCTGGAAGTCATGGGCGTAGTCCTGTTCCCAAGCATGTCAATTTTAATAAGGCAGAACTTGGTTTTCCTGTTTGCCTGGCTGAAGGAAGGTGGAGCAAAAATGCTGGAGAAATTCCAGTATCAAAGGGCTTTGAAGAATGTGCCTGTCTCTCTCTTCTGAAGAGGGTACCATGGGAAAGGCAGAAGGGTGGAACCTCAGGAATGAACCCGAGACGGCAGAGAGAATGTGCTACAGTACTCTTCTAGGGCCTCCTGTAAGCTATGTAACGTCAAGTCTCAGGGGTATGTATTGCATGGCTTTCACATGAAGTAGTCTACAAATCTAAGTTTTTAGATTGGTGGAATAGACCAACCAGTTGCTCCCTCCTTCTCCTCTGATCTCCCATATACATCCCTAAAGACCATGGATCTGGTGATTGTTTTTTGTTTCAACTCTTTCCATTACTCTTCTACACATCACTGACTTAGGATATGTCTTCATTTAGGTGAGCAACCTCTGGCTTAACCTATCCTGGATGTGAGCAACCACACTGCAAAACCACACCTGAGTTGCTAGGTCCACCCTGATTCATGTGTTGCTAGGACTTCTGAGGGCATGTCCCATGGCTCTTAGCACTGCTTTAAGTTGAGCCACTCTATGATTCTTTCCCAGAACTTGTCTGTACTTTTCAACAGATAGAGGAAATGGAATTCTGGGAAGGAGTTGGAGGAGTTAGACTATTGCCATTTGACTAGTTTTGCTGGTGTCCTGATTGCAAATTGGGTGGGTTACCAATATGAGTGAAAGCAGCACCTGACCATCAGCCTATGGTAACAAACCAGCCAGCTAGCCCAAGCTGAAACATAAGTATATTCATGCCGGAGAGCTTCATTCGCGTATGGGTAAGAGCCAGAATTAACTCAACCGTGAAGACAAATCTTGAGAAGCTATCACTTACTAATAATAGCTCAAGTGAGTGGTGTTGATGGTTGATACCACACAAAAAAGGATACCGGTGAAAACTATACTAATACAAACATTGTACAAACTTATTAGACAAGAAGAAATCAATCTACTACCAGTGATCTTGCAGGTCATCTCCAAGTGCAAGGAATGGACTGTCCAAAAGGATACAACTGATGAAGTTCTTCCTGCCCTCAGAGGGAAAGTAAGGAATAATTAGGAGAAAAATCAACCTAAATATTTGCTACCAAAAATGTTGCAAAATGCATAAATGACTGAAACTTATTTGGAAGGCTAAAGAGATTGGCATACTGACTTCCTCCCAGTCCATGTGGAGGGGGACTAGTATTTTTCCACGTCAACCATTTCAGATTTTAAAAATAACTTGTTTTAGGATACATTAACTCAAAAGTCATTTTGTGAAATCTTCATGGAAAGAACATACCTTCTCTGGTCTGCACATCTCTTTGAAAACTTAAGCACTATCTTACTATACATTTTAGAAATGTGCATCTGTCTGAGTCAGTTTGTTCAAGAACTCCTCCTTTCGGTATGCAGCTTCCTCCCATCATAACTTAAAGCAAAGTAAGGGTTTCCTTATGCCGGGACAATGGGCTGTTCCTGGAATTCAACTGTTTTTCATAAAATGGAAAGAGAGGAGGTCTGGTACGAGAGACTTATACTGTAGAATGACCACAGGGGGGCAAGGGGCCAGAGATGGGGACTGGGATGGCTATAACCCCATTGGCCAGCAAGGGGCGGGGTGGAGAAAGGGACAGCAATCTACTATATATTTCATTGAGTTTGTCTGTTCGTGTCTGTCTGTTCCCCAGCTATAGGACATGCACCCCTCCCCCAGCTGTGCCCACTGCAGCTGCAAAGGCCATGGACAGGTGCTTCTCACTTGGCTGCAAGCTGCTGTCGTGAGAGAGGGCTGGGGTTGTCCTCTCTCCGCAGGGTAGCCTGCATCCTGAACCCCTCATCCTCAACTCCACCCCAGAACAATGATTTAAATGATGAAAAATAAAACATGTGAGTTAAGGACCCGAGCAATGCCCGGTAAATCTTCTAGTATACAGTAATTCCTCATTTAACATGTGCCTGCTTAACACATTTTCGCAATAGCATGATTTATTTTTTAGGGAACGTTTTTCGAATTACACGGCCGTCCCCAGAATAACATGATTTCGGCTGGGGGGGGCTTCCCCTGCCTCTCTGCAAAGCGGTGGAGGGTTCGCCGCTTGCCGTGCTGTTCCACGCTGACTCCCCCTCGCCGGATGCCTTCCCCCTCTCCTCTGCCCCCACTTGCAAGCTGGCCCATCGCTGGCGGCTGCGTAGGGCTTCCCTCGCCTCCCTGCAAAGTGGTAGAGGGTTCGTTGCTCGCTGCGCCGTTCCCTGGCGACCCCCCCATCACCGGACGCAGTGCAGGTCCCGGCACACCCGTCACAGGAGCATGCTCCCAACCCAATCCTCCCTGCCCTCTCCTCCCCTTGCCTTTCCCAGAGCCAAACACCTCCCCTCCTTGCTGTAACCCAATCCCCTTTCTCCCCCAACCTTATGTCCTGGTCCCAACAGACACCACCACTTGAAATGCAACCCCCACCTTTTCCATTATTTTCAATGGGAAAATTGACCCCGCATAACATGTTTTCACTTAACACGATCATTTTCTGAAACATATCTATAGTGTCAAATGAGGAATTACTGTATATACTAATTATTAGTCTGTGTATCCATAAAAGTGATGGGCAACCTAGGCCAGTGAATGGGCTGCATGAATGGCTTTGCATCTCAGTGGGCTGCATAGTGTTGCCTCCTGCTAGCTGCAGTGAGACTTCGGAAAGATCCAAGGAAGGTGGATAACTTGACTAAGGTGGAAAGATAGAACATTTGGGATGTGGATGTAGTATGACTTTAGTTTTTATTGACAAGTGCATATGGAGGATGTGCCATAAGGGCACCAGTTTTGCTCCTTTGAACCATCCCAGATCTACCATGTATCATCTCATCCCTCTTTTCTTGTGGGTCCCTAATGCTGCCTGTCCTCAAAGTCTTTTCAGTCCTCTCCAGGTTCTCACCTTTTTGCTCTATCAAAAAGCTCTTTGCTAGTGACCTCCTCTTGGTTATGTCTGGTGTCTCTACTCTACTTAATCGGTCAGCTGATACTAAATACAATAAATTAATGGAGCTTGCCTATCTCCTAGAACTGGAAGTGGGGAGGGAACCAGCCTGGGTGCATGCAGATCCCAGGGTGCTGCCCGTCCTGCGCACGGTCCCGGTGGGGCGCACGGGAGAGTCTGGCCCTGGAGATTCCATCCCACCCTGGCCCCGCTCCCTCCTCTACTGTGTAGTTGCGTACTGATACTCATGATAATAATAAAACTTACTTAATTAGAAAATACCGGGCATTTATATGTCTGGTATTTTATCAACAGAACCATGCAATCTGACCTCCATGTGTAGATCTCAAATTCACAGCTGGAAACAGAGCAAGGGCTATGGGAATAGTAACAAAATGGAAACAAGGAAGAACAGAGAAAGAGAACAGCTGGGAGACCCTATGCTTCCCAAGATGGTCCACCTTGTTTGGTATACATACTGTAGGGCAGGGGTGGGCAAAAGGGCCTCCATGGGCCGGATCCGGTCCACCAAGCGGGTTGATCTGGCCTGCAGAGGCCCTGTTGCTCTCCCGCCCCCAGCTCAATCAGGGTCTGGGGGTGGGGGGAAGTGCACAAACTCTTCTCCCACCCTAGCAGCTGGCAGTTCTCTCGGAGGGAGGTGCAAAGACTTTGCGTGCTCCCGTATCCCCAGACCAATCAGAGTCTGTGGGTAGGGAAGCACGGAAGTATCCTGGCCCTGCCCCTTCCGCCTGAGGCCCCACCCCTTCTGGGGCAACCCAGGGCCACTTCGAAAATTTCTGAAGTGACCCCTGGTCAAAAATTATTACCCACCCTTGTTCTAAGGAATGGTAGTAGGGAGAATAGCAAAATAGAGACAATGGATTTCAGGAAGGCGGATTTTAGTAAATTCAGAGAGCTGGTAGGTAATGTCCCATGAGAAGCAAGACTAAGAGGAAAAACAACTGTAGAGAGTTGGCAGTTTTCAAAGGGACATTATTAAGGGCCCAAAAGCAAACTATTCTGCTGCATAGGAAAGATAGAAAGTATGGCAGGAGACCACCTTGGCTTAACCAGGAGATCTTGCATGATCGAAAAATCAAAAAGGAGTCATATAAAAAGTGGAAACTTGGTCAAATGACAAAGGATGAATATAAGCAAACAACACAGGTATGCGGGGCAAGATCAGAAAGGCAAAGGAATAAAATGAGCTCAGTCCAGCTAGAGACATTTAGGGTAACAAGACAACATTCTATAAATATATTAGAAACAAGAGGAAAACCAAGGACAAAGTAGGCCCATTGTTCAGTGAAGAGGGAGAAACAATAACAGGAAACTTAGAAATGGCAGAGGTACTTAATGACTTCGTTTCAGTCTTCACCAAGAAGTCTGATAAGGAAGGGATGCTTAACATTGTAAACGCTAGTGAAAAATAGGGTAGGTTTAGAAGATAAAATAAGAACAAGTTAAAAATTACTTGGAAAAGTTAGATATCTGTAAGTCACCAGGGCTTGAGGAAATGCATCCTAGCATACTCAAGGGGCTCGTCTACATTGGCCCCTTTTCCGGAAGGGGCATGGTAATTTTTGAAATCGCAATAGGGAAATGCGCGGGGGA